TCTCAGACTACTGGAATCTCTTGGATACAAATTTCCTTCTTGGGCTTGCCTAGTTAGAGAAAATAGCAAGATTAAGGTACCTGCTGGGTCCCGTGGAAGAGGGACTGGGCCCGGCTGGGGGGCCCTGTGGTGGCACCTGTTGATATAGTGGGGGCACCGGATTATACTGTGGTGGTTTCGGGCAGTACGGTGGCTGGGGCACCGGTTCACACTGCGGCGGTGGTGCTGGGTGGTACTGTGGTGGAGCAGGCTCGTGCCAGGGTGGCTCGGGATCCGCTTGCTGTAGCGGTGGCTCAACCTGTGATAGTGGGAGAGGTTCGGGTAACTCCCTTCTCTCCTCTCAACCTTGCTGGGCGGCCATGATCCTTTCCAGCATCTCAAATATTCTGTCCACATCTTCCCGAAGCGAATCATCCCGGGCTGCTCGGTTTAGTAGGGGTCTTCATCTCCTCATTTCTCTGCACCTGCATTTCATAAGGAAGAGTTGAGTGACGATTTATCGGTGGGTATTTCTCTAAGCATTATTGTGTAAGGGATGAGTCCGAGGAACGCGACTCTGATACCACTTGTAACGGCCCCGGAAATAAAAATGAAATGTATATATTAAAAAGTTCTAAGTGCGGAAGCGAAATAAAAATTTTGATTAACATCTCTTACACAATAACCAAAAACGTATTCAACGTATGAAAGAATAAACTAACTAAGGTAAATACTAGTAATGAATGCTATAAATAAAACTATGAAATCCTTATACGTCTACTCGCCGTCTTACTGCGGAACAGGCTCGGGAACCAAATCCTCCTGATCTGAAATGGTTAAATAAGGAATGAGCTACATTAGCCCAGTAAAGATATCACACTATCTCACTGTCACAGAAGTAAAGGTTAGTAGAAAACAAAAACGACCAATGGAGCATAATTCAGGATAAACTCATTTATCAATAATAAAATCCTTTGTTGTCCACTTACCTCAGTGAGCTTCATGAAAACAATATAAGAAAACAATAACATTATAATATCATAAAATCATACATACTTTATAACATAACACATATCATACCTTTGTATTTCAATCATCAGACAACAGATTTTTCTCTTTTATCAGCCCACTAGTATCCATGGGGTTCTCCGCTACACGTGAACCATTTACATTGATAACTTGATTAAGGGTCGTCCCCATACCCCGTCCGGTATGGGCGCCAAAAACTATAAACCTCAATACCCCGTCCGGTATGGGCGCCAAAACACATAAGGTCTCCATACTCCGTCCGATATGAGAGACCACGTTCCCGGTAGGATTCCCTACGGACCCGGTCCGTCCACCATCTCCCAGGATATCTAGTTAGGCTGTAGACATCATGCATTTATCAATTCACATACCTTTTTTCATTTTTTTTGGTCTCAATTATCCAATCAAATATAAACATGTAAACTAGTAATGAACACCAAACAAGACAACAAAGGGTTCACAATAATTCAAACCATAATAAATAAAACCGTGATTCATACACACGAAACCATAAAATAAACATATCATATACCATACTGCATTTAAAACTATAAAATAGATCAAACAACTACTGACCAAAAAATACATCAGATTCAGGCTCCATTAGCAACCTTAATTAATTATACACAATTCATGAGATATCATTTTATCATTTATTGAGCTTTAATACCGTGATAGAAAAATAGGGTGAGAAATCCTTATTTGTTTCGGAGTCTGAAATCGATTTTACAGTGCCTACGAGCAGTCTCTAGATTCCTTAATTTTTTCTCCGAGAACTGAAACACACTTTCGGTTCATGCACATGTCCTGAAAAAAACTCAAAATCAAACCCAGGGCCTACTCGGCAAATTTTAGAATTCCGGCAAGGCGGCTCCGCCGTGCTCTGGTGACGGCACCGCCGCCTACGGGTTGGCCGTTTTCGATCGAATTTGGCCAAACTCGTATCGATTCCTGTGATAAAACACCCCTAAGGCCCTCGGTAGGCCAAAAAATCACAAAAAACCGAGACTCATCGGCGGCGGAGCTCTCGGGTGCGGCGGCTTTTTCGGTGCGAGTTGCGATTTGATGTTTTGCTCCGGTCAACCTATAGAGAAAATGACAGTGATCACAGTGGTATAAAAATTACATCAAACAGGAATCAGGAAGGGCCTCATCGGAGGCAAAAATTGAGGGAAGCTGCGGCGGTGCCGCTGGACTTCGGCGATGTTTTTCGGCCAATTGGCCGGTGGTTTGGCTCCGATTTGGCCATAGGCGGATTCAGCATCAAAAAACGAGCCAAATTGAGAAAATTTACCTCGTTTGGCGGTCAGAAAATTCCTTTGTAATATGCATAAAATTAACTAAATATGATGTCATTAAAATTTGATTATGTTATAATTAGATTTTAACTAGTAATAAATATATATATATATATATATAAAAGAAAATCATTATATCTTTTGGATTTTAAAATTTTTTTAAAGGTAAAACTTCTATCGAAATAAATGATATGATAAACACCACTAAAATGATGTTATTTTTTAATTTAATAACTTCACATATCAAACATGACAAAAACTACCTTGTCAAGTTTATAAGGCAAAAAATAAGAATGTCACGTATAATTTTATGTATTTTCAGAGATATATAATATTTTATAAATAAAATATGAACTACTTGATTATTATCTTTCTAATCATTCCAACAAAAATTAAATAATAAATAAATAATTGAATTAATGATAATTTGTCTTCCAACAAAATCGAAAATTTAGAAATTGGAGGTGCTTGAGAAAAAAAGAAACTTAAAAAAAATGATTTCTGAATCCTCTCCCACAATTATATGATGCTTATTTCTTAATAATGCTACTTCTAGACCATAGAGGAATGTATTTAGATGAAGTAATTATCAAAATTTGGATTAGCTTATTTTCTTATATAGTGTTGTCAAATTTAAGTTTAACCTAAATTCGATTTCTTTTTTGGAAATTCAAGTTCAATTCAAGACTGGATTGAAATATCATTTTCATATTAAAGTTTAATTCGTTAACCGGTTTGAGAAAATTAGCTAAATAAAAAACCATAACTTTGTATAGCCTAAACAAGTTTGAAATCATCATATACTCAAGATTCGATTACAACAAATATAATATATGTATATTTATGTATTTATACATATTTTACCAAATTCAATTCACCTCTCCTGATCTCTACTAAAACAATTGGCAAGTGCATATATATATATATATATATATATATATATATATTTTTTTTTTTTTTTTTATATATGAAGTTTCAGGAGATTCACGTCTATCTTGAATGACCAAAAATCACATGCATGTCTTCCACGGGATATAAATTATGAAGGCCAGCCATGCATTTCACGTAACCTAGAAAGCTAGCTACTTGATCATCATGAGCTCATTGCCACTAGTATAAGTTAAATCAATACTAAGGAATTATAAACATACATATTTATATATACACACACACACATATATATATACGAACCGATGCAACTATAAATGGCAAGTTATGTATCTCTATTTGAATATATATATATATATATAGTTTCTGGCCTTCATTAGATAATAATACACATCTTCACATGTATGCATATATATATATATATATAGTCTTACGTAAATTTCAACTCCATTTGCAGTTATGGATTACCATCAAATTGTCTTCAACATTAATATATAGCTGCAGATTGAACTCATATATTTCACGAGACTTTTTGTTTCGTTCAGGGCATCACAAAACATTATAAAGGGGATATAATACGCCCCCACGAATGCATTTACAAGGGCATGAACACTTATTCTGTCTAAATTTGTGGAGACAAAATGAACTATTTATATCAACCGAGTCATTCACAAGGGTTAATTCAGTTGACAATTAAGTAAATATTTTTAATACTTCGGATTTGATTCTTGTAAGTAAGAAAAGTTCTTTAGGAACAAAATAAGTAATGGGTTCAAAATTGTCCATAGATAAAATTACATAGTTTTCGGAAAAGCTGGAATATATTTCTTATTATCTAATCTAGAAATAAATAAATAAGTAAACTGAGCCAAAACTTGGTCGTATAATATATATACACACACACACACATACATACATACATACATACATACATATATATATATATAGTACTTTTATGTATTAAATGTAGCTAGTACTCATCGTGATTAACATATATGATAACCAGTGGAGAAACATTAATGCTTTAATTTTTATGAAATAATTGATTTCTATTATTCATCCGAACCACTTAACTTCTTCGGAAATAGTTTATTGTTGTTAGTACATTTATTTATTTTTTTTTTAAGTAGGAAGAAACGTTATTGGATACGTAATGTTAAATAATTGATTGTATGGATTGTTTCAGAAAATTAAATACTTAGAAAAATATTCAATTAACTACTTATATTTTAACATAAATTCATCAGGTTAAAAATATAATAATAATACGTAACTTATTATAATTTTTAGTAGAAATAAAAAAAAATTATAATTTAAATACTGAACATTTGATTATAATACTATATTAAATAATTTGATTATTTTAAAATTTTAAATTAATGAAGAATAATCGAATTAAGTATTTATATTTTAACAAATAACAATTGATACAATATCATAAATTAAAACCCAAACAATCTGTGAGCAGAATTAAAATTATGTATAAGTAAAACTTTTTGAGTTCTATTCACAGATTTTAAGAAATAATTGATACCATGTTAGAAAGATTATAACTATATAGTAATTATTAATTATCTTAAAAATTTAAGTTTATTGTTATAATTAACGGCTTAATTATATTTTAAAAAAATCTCTTTCTTGTCATGCAGCTTAAAATTTTCCCTCACACAATATCCCCTAATTAATTAGATCGTAGAGCTGATCGAATATCCAATCCAAAAAATTCACATGCTGCAACAAAGAAATAATTAAAGTTTCATATAGATTCGTATCTATGTCACCATACGGGACATATTACAGAACCGATATAATCTTTAGAACTATGATACTACTATGCATGTATAATATGTTTAACCATGTTTTTAAACTAAGAAGTTGCCTTGAGAGCTTTTTCTTATATATATATATATATTATATGATTGCAAAGATGATTTTTCCAAAGCAGCATGGATATATATTTGACGGCCAAGATCATGAAAAGACTACTATATCTTATGATCATTTGCATGAACGGACTCAGAGTAGAAGCTTTGTTGAACTTCAAGTGCCAGCTCCTCCAGACTCAGGTGGCATTCCAACCCTATCTGTATCAAATCACCCAGAGAAAATTAACATTAATAAAGAAGATCATTCGCTTAAAACATATGTATATGTATATATGTATGTATGCATGCATGGATGTAAGATATTATATGAATCAATATGGATCATCAAAGGGTTGATCTTGAATTATTCATATACTATAAGATCTCCACGTGAAGTGGCTAATTATGTTAACATGAGAAGGTGCGATGTCATATAAGAGAGGATGTAATGATATACACACACACACACACATATATGTATATATTTATATATATGTTCACATGGGAAACACGAGAATCACAAACTTTTGTAAGCATAAATAAATGAAGCCGGATTAACCCTAAGACTTATTCCTTTTCATCTCCTTGATATGGGAAAATATTGTAAAAACCATTATTAATTTCCTCTGAAGATCCTTCATATTATCTTTTTTTAGATGGCGTGACTGTTAATTCTGCGGTCCAAGACCATGATATCTCTTCAGCTGATTGTCTATTAACCTGTCTTGGTCATTGGATAAATTATGAAGATATATACATATATAGCTCACTAGATATATATATATATATATATATCATAGATGGGTTTGGATAGCTAATTAATTTCAGACCTTTTTATCTTCAATCAAGAGCAAGAACAAATTTGTGTCTCCTTTCGCAACACGTATATGTACATAAGAAGAGGTTTTGGGTGCACATGACATAGACATATATATACTGATGGATGTGTATGTATATATATATATATCTATATGCGTACCTTGATGACAAAGGAGCATAAAACAGTGTCCTCCATGCTACTGATATTGAGGTGAAGAATCTCGAAGGAAAGCTTCTCGAGTACAGTGATTATCTTCACAACTTGGCCAGGGATCCTCCTCGATATAACTTTCAGCACCACGTTTGGACCTGAGATCTTTGCTTCCACATCTGCAAGAGGAGAGTTGCAGGACGCTCCTATTTCCTTAAAACTTTCATGTCCAAAACACCTTTGATCAAGCTGAGGATGATGAACTACTGGTGCCCTAGGGCTCACGCTTTTCATCCTTTGTTTCTTGGACTCCAAAGCTTGTAAAACGTGGTGCAATTCCTTAATAAATTCTATTACTCCCCCAATTATCGATGCTTGGTCTCCCTAATTAAATAATCATCAAATTATCGAACCGATTACGACATATTTACATAGAACAAATAAAGCAATAAAGAGTAGCATATTCATATGTATATGCATATGTCTTTTTGTGCGTGTATATTAGAAGGTAGAGATATTATTCAATTTTCCATCAAATTCCAACGAAAGAACATTTGGGTGAAAATTACAAATCAATCCAGAGGGAAACTGAATCAGGGAAGACTGATTAATCCAGCAGGAAAAATCAAATTAAGCTGCCAAAAAACTAATCTACAGCAATAGCAAGTTAGGGTCAATATAGGAAGTTCGGAAGATAAAAACATATTACACCAGCCAGAAACCCAAGAAAAGCATAGGTATGAAGCAAAACACATGGCTATATGTATATACATATATATATACCCTTTTGATGTAGAAACATGGGGTT